TTGCCTTGGTGTAGGTAATATTACAACATGTAGTCTAATGCCAGAAACCAAATTCTCAACATATGCTACTTACCCTCTCAGTGTGTGTGTGTGTGTGTGTGTGTGTGTGTGTGTGTGTGTTGTGTTTGGTGGAGTATTATACATGCAGATTTAGAAGTACTCATCTGTGTTAGAGTTCGACCATTGTGACAAAATACCCAAGGAAAAACGACTTAAAGGAGGAAATGCTTATTCTGGCTCACATCTCCAGAAGTTTTAGTTTGTGGTCTGCTGGTTCCATTGCTTTGGGCCTGAGGCAGAACACCATGGAGAAAAGCTGCTCACCTCATGGCATTTGAGAAACAAAGAGAGGTATGAGGGAGGGAGGGAAGGAAGGAGGAAGGGGAAGGAGAAAAGAGGGGGAGCTGGAAACAAGATACAGTCCCCAAGTTCACAACCTCATGACCCATTCCCTTCAAACAACCCCACCTCCTAATTTTCCATCGGGTCCCAATAATGCCATCAAATTATGAATCTGTCCATGGATTCATCCACAGATGAAGCCGGAGCCTCACTATCCAATGCCCCTTCCAAAGCCCCACCTCTGGGCACTGCTTCACTGGAGACCAGGGCTTCAACACATGAGCCTTTAGGGAACATTTAATATCCACACCATAGAACCACATATTTTAATTAATTTTTATGCCATTTTAATGACAGAAAATGTTTCTATTATATACTTGATCTTAACAATAAATGTTTCTGTTATAATGTTGAGTTCAAAAGGATTTAAAATTGGCTATGTAGCATAAGTATGACCCCTTAAAATATTTAACGTAAGTACATAGAACAGAAAAATGGGACACATTAATATGTCAGTAGTGTGTGTCCATTCTGGGTTGTATTTGGGTGGATGGGTATTTTCTCCCTCTCCCTTCGATGTCCTGCAGTTTGTAAATTTGTAATCATGGGTCACCACCAATGAACAAGCACTAGCTCTCTATTTGCCAGTCTGTCAACAAGTTGAGCTGGGCTTTTACCTCAAAGTGGCTTCCAGGTCACCTATCACATGTCCTGAAGCAGAGAAGCCAGAGGCCTCTGACACCTGGCTTCAATATGGAGCTGTGTCTCCCATGTCATGTGGTCATCACCCTGGAAGTGGACTGGTAGCTTTAAAACCGCAGACCAAGCAATAAGTCCCACAATCTGTGCTCAAGGCTGCCTGGAAACGTCCCTGTGAGCAAAGCCAACCCACAGTCAGGGCCTGACCTGGAACAGACGCAAACAAGCTGACCCCAGCCCCAGCCCCAGCCCTATTCTTTTAGTTCACACGGGTTGTTTTAAATGGAATTACCATACAATTTCCAACTGAAATATCTCACATGAGCATCTCTTTACATAGTCTCTAAAAATTCAGAGGCTCCAAGTACACCAGGCCACGTGACAACAATCAGGTGGAGCAGAGTCAGGGTTGCCCCCTTGGATGAATGGGGCTCAGCTCACCAGTAGCCACCACTCCTATGCACTGAAGCTGGGACATGGTGTTTGAGCCACTGCTTTTCACAGCAGGGAGCAGCAGATGGTGAAATGTGTCCTGCACTTTTATTTCAATTCTAAGAGGAAAACATAGGGTGGTGGGAGAGTTGTGGCTCTCAACAAAAGTGGTAGTGGGCACACTTCCTGGGTACCTCTGCTCACTGATGTTATAGCTCTTGTCCCAATTAGTCTTTGAATTTTCTTTTCCTGGCCTAGAGAGAACTCATTTCCTAAGAGAGAACTCATTTTTCCAGAGAGATTCCCAGAAAAAAAAATACTGATTGGTGCCCCTCTGCCCACCTCCCACCCCTTCCCCAGGAGTTGACTGCCTGGACGTGTGGTACCCTAAGGCCTCCCCCAAGAAGCCTTGGCAGGAGGTGGGGAAGAGCTGTGCAGGGAGAGCACCCCAAGGTCATGCACTTCAGATCTATTTTCCCTGGGAGACCAGGAGCTGTACCCATTTCTTGAGCAATATCATTTTGGAGCCATGTTCCCAGCCCAACTCCTCCCAAAGTTTCAAGCTGTTTTTAATGCATGAATTTTTCTTTTCTTTTCTTTTTTGGTTCCAGGGATCGAACACAGGACCTTGCACTTGCAAGGCAGGCACGAAGCCACTGAGCTAAATCCCTGGGCCTAATGCATGAAACTTTTGTGCAAAGGCTCAGGTGGCCCAGGACACCAAAGTTGCTGTAGCCTTAGCTTCTATAAAGTCCTGGGGCAGAAGCATCTCTGGGCTCAGAGTAGGGCCTCCTGGATCAGCATCTCTGCCCTACCTCACCCTAAGGCAAAAACTTCAAGTTATGGAAGCTTTCTGTGCCTCAGCTTTTCCTTTCTGAAGTCCCAAGAATTGGGGTGTGGTGAAGATGAGGTGAAAGTGAAGCTCTTGGCCCTATGCCTGGCACAGGTCAAGGGCTCAGGGAACAGGGTTGTGTAGCCTTCACAGTGGTGACCATTCTGCCAAGCCAGGAAACAGGCTGGTAGATGTGACTGAGGGGGGCCCTCCAGTCGTGCTTTCTACCCTCCCTCCACCCCATAGTGGAAACTCTGTTTTATCTGTGAGCCAAGCCTTGGGCTCAGGTGCTGAGGACTCCAAACTTCATGGGCCCTTCCCAGACTCTTATCCAGAACCTCCCTGTTCTCCCAGAAGGCCAGGCTCCTAGGAAGGACAGACAAACACGTGTTCATTTCCTGTCACTGCCTCAAGGGATTTCCTTCTGGCACCCCTGATGAAATGGCCTCCTGAGGCCAGGAGCAGGTGGTGTGAAGAAGTACAGTCCGGGAATTCCTGTTCTCCTGAGATGCTGTCAGGACCTCTCACAGGGAGGGAAGAGGAGGGTTCATGGGTCCCTGTTTCCTCACTGCCCAGAGAGCTTAGGCCCTCATTGGGCCTGAGCTTCCTAGGTGGGCAGATCCACAGTGCCTGGCCCAGGTGGGCCATGCTCCTCCCACACTCCAGGTGAGGCAGGCCTGGGAGACCCTGAGCATTACTCTGAGCATGTGCAGTCTTGGCTTCTATGTTGCTTTCTGCTGTCCCTCTTCCCAACCTGCTCCCTCCCTGAGCAGCCTGCCTGACAGCTCACTCACTAGCCCCACCTGTCACAAATGGTAGTGACCCAATTTCTCTCTGGCTCTCTGCTGGAAGCAGCCCAAGAAGAAGACAGGATGGAGTTTTCATTGTTGTTGTTCACTATACTACCATGTCTCCAGCATGTAGCTCTGTGCCTGGCACACAGCAGGTACATACTCTGTTTCTTAGATAAAAGAAGAGAGATGATAACCATGCCTGGCTCACGTTGTTGTGGTGGATGTCAAATAAGATGATTTGAGCACAGCACTTCACACCGTGGCTGGTGTACATGAGCACTTATCATCAACAGCTGCTGTTGGTGGCTTCTCAGTTCCCTAACATTGACCAAGAGCTGCATGCCCAGCTTTGGGGCCAGTCTTGGGCCCTGTCACTCCCCTGCTAATCATCCACCCTTCCTCCAGGCTTCAGATGTCTCTAGCTAGTCCTCAGTACCCCCTAAAGTGTCCCCAAGAGCCAAGAAGCCACACAACATGCACAATGTACACATGCACACAGGCCACACCTACCCCTAGGTCCTCCCCTTTGAGGCACCACGAGAATGTAATGAAGAAGGTAGGTGTTATGGCTTGTATCTAGATGTCCCTCCAAAGCCTCATGCAGCCATAGGTGGGGCTTCTTGGAGATGGCTGGATCTAGGGTGTGTGATGCTGGGATCAAGGATGAAATGTTAGGATTAAGGGTGTGAGTGCTGCCCACCCTAAGGACAGGTAGCCTGGATAAGATATAAGGGACAGAAAGAGGCTTGTTCTCTGTTACTTGTCACTTGCTTGCTGCTTGCTGCTTGCTGCCTTCTGCCTTCCCTGCTTTGCCATGGACTGTTTGTCCTCTGTGATGCCCTTCTGCCATGCCATCTGCTTTGGAGCCAGCTGACTGTGGACTGAAACCTCTACAAACTGTAAGCCAAATAAATCTTTCTCTCTTTAACTTTGAGTGTTGGGCGTTTTGTCTTAGTAATGAGAAAAATAACTAAGACAGTAGGTTGCTCTCAGTAGCCAAGCAGCCTCATCCCTGAGCTTCTTCCAACATCTGGACCCCAAAGGATTTTTAGACTTATAGAGAGTTTCCCTCTGTACTAGAATCTAACAAAAGTTTTTCTGAAGTGGACAGGGCTTTGGGTCAGGATGTGTGAGTTCTAAGTCTGCTTACAATGCCCTTCATCTCTCTACATCTTTGTTTTTTCTGTGAGGGGGGGCAGATCAGAAAGTTTCAAATATTTCTCAGAGGTGCAATCAGTTGAAGAAACTAAACTGTACCAAGACATGACTCAGTATATCCAGTAGATGAAGGCAGATATGTGCCTACCCCGTCTCCCTGGTGACCCCCCACTGTTGTCTTGCATCTCCCCACATGCTGACTGTGACAATGGGCACAAAGGAGTGATGCACTTCCCGGGAACACCCAGGGCCCAGGCTACCCACATGCCCTGGTGGGGAGGGAGAATTGGTATCTGGTTCAGAGTAGGTGATCTGCTGTAGCCAGTATAAAATTCATATCCAGGTTTGAACAAGGCACTTGCATTTTCATTTTGCACTGAGAGCTCCCAATTATGTAGAAGATCCCCATGTGTTAGTGATTACCTGTTCTTGAGAAAGTATCTTAGCCTGTAGGAACCTCACTTTTGTCATCTGTAAAATACAGGTAATGATAGCACTTGCCTAACAGAACTGTGAAGAAGATGAGATAACCGAACCTATGCAGAGCTCTTAACAGGTTCCTGGCACAGAGTAATACATGACCAATAGTAGTTACTGCTATAGAAGATAATGACAATACTATTGCATGATAACATAAGTGCCCTACCCAATAACACTGATACTAAAAATTGCCCTCCAGGTTCAGTCACCTAGGAAATGATTACAGGTCCCCAGATACCAGTTCTACCTCCCTGGCCTCTTACCTTCTCGAACTGGTTGTGTTTGCATCTGCAGCCGGATCTTGATGAGGTCCACAGGCCCCCCAAGCCCAACAGAGACCACACCGGCCACCATGCTGGCCAGGAACAGGTCAGACAGGCTGTGGCGAGGGCCAGCCTCAGGCTCCCCACAGTGGTGCTGGCCAAGGAACCTCCGCATGTTGCTGAAGACCCCAAAAACCACCGAGTTGTAGACAGCAATGCTGGCCAGGGGGAAGGACATGCCCTTGAAGAAGCCGAACACCTGTGGTGAGACCGGTGGGAGGAAGCATGAGGCCCAGGGCTACAACCCCAAGGTGCAGCCCAGCAGGCCAAGCATGGAGCTCTTTCCCTTCTCTCCTGGATCCTGGAGGCTGGTGGGAAAGATGCCTAGCATGAATAAACCACCATGGGAGTGAAGAGTGTAGGAGAGGAACCTGCTGAGACAGGAGAGGATTGTTTACAACTCATGGGAAACATTCTCACCCTGGGGAGGAACACCTTCTGCATGACACTTTCTATCCTGTATGTTGGTGTCCTGGCCTGGGGCCTGTATCTGCCGCATAAATGGCAGTGCCTGGCTGGTCAAGGGGAGCCTGGGGAACTCTGAGGAGCAGTGGGCTGCAAGGACCACCCACACTCTCGTTTGCTATGCAAAGCCTTCTCCAGGCTCTTGCCATGTCCCAGGCTCTGGGAGACAGCAAGAAAGAAACAGTCTTCATTTTCATTGAGCTTATGGCCTAGGGACAGGGCATGGGAGGGGAAGGGGACAGGGGAAAACAGATGGATAGGCAATTACAGCACAATCCACTAAGCCTGTGGTGAGGGGTAAGAAGGGGGTCCTGGTGGGGCACCTGGGCAGCCCGAAGATGGGTGCCCCTGAGCAAGGGTGTCTCCTAACAGAGTGGTGCAGAGGGACACCATCAAGGACAAAGGCAGGGACTTAGGCGCACACAGACAGGGCTGAGGGAGGGGCTGCAAGCTGGGGTCAGAGTCCTTTCTATCCTGCATTCTCAGGGAACACCACAGACTCTGTGGGGAAACCTGAAAAATTCCATGTGACCTTGGAGGACTCAGGGCAGCATACATATGCTAAAGCCAAAGCATCCTCAGAAGTCATTGTTCCAACTTCAGGCTGTGTACCAATCTGATAATCCTGACCTTGTGTGTTGTGTCTTGTTTGCCAGAGGCAGGGCAACTCCTAAACATGTGCACAGCCACACACGCGCATATATGCACACACATGTACACTCCCACACCCTGCTACCTCAGGCTCTTTCTCCATAACAAGATCCTTCAGATAACTTATGATATTGCTTACCCAGGGTCTGTGGAGTCCCCAGCAAAGCCTAGGAGCTGGGGTGCTGCAGGGATACATGCCAAAAGGGAGAAGCCAGGGCTGTCTTCCAGAGGCCTGGGGAATCATGCAAAGTTACCTTGGAACCCCAGACACTGCGCTGTCAGTGTTCGGGCTGACTTCACAGCAGCCCACTAAGAGAGTTAACACTTTGATGTACCTTGCTGTCCCCTCTTTGGTGCAGGGTCCACTTCTGTGGACAATCTCAAGGTGTTTGCAGGAGGCTTCTGAGACCCAGGGCACTTACACATGTAGCTGGGTTGGGAAAATGGTCTCAGTGGGCCACATTTCATGGGGCTCAAGGCACAGCTACAGGGCCTCCATTATCAGTTCTTTTCATCTGAAACTTTATTCTAAATTCTCCAAAGAAGGGTCTTTAAAATGCTAATTCTCAAGAAGGTCACCAGAGGTATTCACAAAAAATTATTCAATTTTCCCCTTGAAAAAGAGTCAGCTAGGGTCATGTAGTGAGCTCTGGGCTCTACAGGGAGCTCTGGCAGATAGGGGCAATGTTGCACAGAGAGAGACAACATTCACTCTGTTTAAATAAACTGACAGTTCACCTTGTTTCTACAGGAATTTTCCACATTATGGCTCTAAATTCCTCAGGATTTCTCCAGAGAAGTTACACAAAATCAGTCTTATCTTCAAGAATGTCAAACTAGGTAAAAAGGTTGGGTTAAGGTAAAATGTAATATTTGAGGTGTGCTATGAGATGAAAAGGGAAAATTGGGCCAACCATGAGGGACAGGAATTAATGACCTCCTGCCTGCCGTGATGCTATGGAAGTGTGGCCCTGCCCCCAGGTCCAGGGAAGGCAGTGGCAAGAGTCACTCCAGCCACCCACCCAAGGCACTTACACTTTCCCTCCTGTATACCCTGCGGATGCAGCTCAGGGTGCTCCCGTAGCCGATGCCAGCCTGCAGGCGAGTCTGTGGAGAGAGGCAAGGTTGTGGGGCCCACTCAGAGATTAGCGACATCCCCACAACCCCAAAAGATGGCCAGAGAGGGAAAACCCCTGCCTGAAGCTACTCAGACCGGAAGGAGGCCTAAATTTCAGTCCTGGCCAGCCTGGTGCTCTGTGGTCTGGATGTAAAACTCCTTCTAATGTCTCATTCACACCTGCTCAGTGCAACAGAAGGCTCCTTTACCTGGAGAGGGGCCAAGCAGTCAGGTATGTAGAAATGATAGCACAGGATGTATAATCCCTCTCTCGAGTACGAGAAGAGAACCAGCCTATCCTGTCATCCGGCACTCTGCTTCTTACATATCCCTGGGAAGAGCTGCTCTTCTTGCCCATAGAACCACCATCCTAGTCTGTCTGTGCCTCTTTCATCTCTCACCTGCTTCCCCTCGCACTTCCCCTCTCTCAACACATCAGATGAATCTTTTTCAAATATCACCAAAGCCGTGTCACTGTGTTTACAGCCCTCCAGTGGCCACTCATCAAATTTAGAACACATTTCACACTTTTCATCTGTGCCCCCGGGGCCCCGGGGCGCTGCCACAAGCCATTTCCTCCCCATACCCTGCCCTCCATGCCCACCACAAGTACATTTCAGGTCCCTGGAGTATTAATTCTTATCTCCAGACCTTTGCCCTGGCTGCTCACTCCCCAGGAAGACTCTTTCTCCAGCTGTTCTCCTGTTGGTTTGAGCTTAAATGCTGCATGGGTCTTAGCTGCTTGTTTATGCAGGGCTTATGTGGGATTACCCCACTAGTGCAGGGCCACCTGTCTTCCCTCCCTCTTGTCCCTGGAGTTGAGTGCAGCCCTGTCACAGCAGCTGCTCTGCACTGGCCAAATGAGGAGCTGAATGGTGAAAGCATGGTGTTCTCTAAGGGAGGCTGTTTTGGTGACCGGGGGCAGCAGTGGACAGACACAGAGGGTCCGAGGAAGCCCAAAAAACTGCCCACAGCACCCTGTACCCTGGTATCAGAGGCTCTACTTCTTTTACGATGCATGGCATGGCCAGTGATTCTCCATAAATGCTTTCCCAGCACTCCCAACGTGCTTTGCCTGGGTAGGAAGGAGTCATAAGAGCCACGGAGGAGGAGATACTGGCACTGTCCTAGCACGCAGAGGGCAGTGAAGAGCTAATGGCTAACTCTTCCCCCATACTACCTGAGCTCCACTCGGAGCCAAGTGGAGAAGCCGCTAGGGGAGCACATGCCATCAAAGTGGCAGTCTCCCAGGTGGCACTTTCCTGCATTTCCAACTTTCATTATTTTTAGCTTGTATGGTTTTAAAAATAATTTTAACTATACAACTAAATGAGAATACATTCTCCCAATAAAAGTCTCAATATCACCTGTAAGGCTAAAGATCTCCTTTGATCGGTGCAATGACTATGGCCAGTAGCGTGAACAAGAGTGTGATCGGCAACCATCTATTTTTATAAACATGTGTAGCCATAGAAAATATATAGGAAAAGATACCACACTATTCCTCAGTATTACTTTCATAACCAGAGAAATGTATTTAAAAACTCATTCAACAAATATCTGTGTATCTAAAATGTATCAATACAATTAATTTTTAAAAGCCCAAATATCTGTTGAGAGCCTGGATCAAAGTAGTCTGTCCCAGGCTCAGGCAATTCAGCAATAAAGATGACAAAGTCTCTGACCTCATGGAACTCACATAAAAAATAATTCCCAAGTAAATATAGGTGTTTTATGATGATGAGTGCTATATAGAAAAATAACCTAAAGAGCAGAGGGGCTGGGTGGCGGCAAAGGAAAGTCCACCGTCAAATTGTTAGGTAGGAGAGACGTCCTGGAACATGCCAACCTGGCCTGCATGGTCTCCTTGTTAAGAAGAACCCCAGAAGTCTACCTTAGGGTGGGGTGTCCAGCTCAATGATACAGCCAGGGGAGACAGTGTAGGTCTTTCTTTGCACCCCATTTAAAGCTAGCATGAGGCCCAACAGTGGCCCCTGCTGGCCCCACAATACCAGGGCTCTCCCTGGGTAGTGAGAATGGTAGACATCCTCTGGAAATCAGGCTTCCACAAAGATTGAGTGGTCAAACCACTCAAGCAAAGGGTACATGAGGTGACTTAACCCAAGAGCAAAACTGAACCACGGAATCATTTCAAAGCTACGGAGCAAATGTCTGCCAGTCATGCTGAACCCTCATCATGGCACAGAGGCTCCAGGAACCCCAGTTATAATGAAAGCTGGCATTTAGTGTACACCAAATGCATATAGGGATCTTGGAGATGCCTCACTAAATCCCCTAAATGCTGTGAAGCATAAATACTGCCTAAGTTGCATAGATGAAGAAAGCTAACTCCCTGTATTAGTTTCTTATTGCTGCTCAAAACAATCCAAGTCTATTCTCATACAATTCTAGATGCCAGAAATCTCAGCTCCATGGTACTGAGTAGCTATCAGCTGTTTCCTATGCCTTTCCTGGGCAGCCCAGGGAAGGGGAAGCAGCCTTTGATCTGGTCGGCAGCACAGGTCCTGGTAGCAGGTCCTCCCATGGGCGAGCCCTGAGACCTCAGGCAAGTCACACACCTGCTTCTTGTGCCCTGGCAAGTCTGTTCATCAGGGTGGGGTCATGTTGCTCATTGCTTTGTCCTCAGAGTCTTTATGAACAACCTTCATGACAGACTTGCCAGGGAAATGCCATGTGCCCATTTTAGACTCAGGGAGGCTACCTGCTATGCTCTGGGTCACAGGAGGGTAGAGGATAAGGCCAGAACTGAACTCCAGGCCTGTCTCAGTGGGCAGGGACTCTTGAGAAAATGTTAGCCAAAGGAAGGCAGGAGGAGGTTCCAGAGTAAACAAGGGCCCAATGCCATGCCCTGGGGCTGAACTCAAGTCAGGCCATGTGAGCCATACTGCCAGGCTGGCACCTGGGCAAGGGCTTCTTGAGCTGAATACGGACTAGGTTATATGTCTCAGGATGGATTCCCCTCTGTGGTGCAGGGGCAGAGTGGAGAGAAGGAAGAGGGCCTGAGCCTCTTCAGGTAAACGGGGGGCAGGCTTGCTGGTGCAGAGAGGAGAGGCTCACTTCCCTAATAGCCTAAATCCAGTGACTGGTACCTTTAAAAAGGAGAGGGAGCCTTGACACACAGACACACAGAGGGCAAGGCCATGGAAGAGAGACAGAGGCTAGTGACAGTCAGGACCCAAGAACGCAAAGGATTGCAGTAACCAGCAGAAGCCAGGACAGGCGCTAGGTTGGAGTCTCCCTCCAAACCTCCAGAAGGGACCAACAATTTGATTTTGAGCTTCCTGCATCTGGAACTATAAGAGTATAAATTTGCTTTATTTTAAGCCACTCAGTTTATGGGAATTTGTTACAGCAGGCCAAGGAATCTAATATACCCCTAATTTTTTATAGTTAAGTCTCACATTCTAGTCAACAAGAATTTGCTCCCGAGTCACTTTTAACCAAATCCCCATAGAGAAACAACCAGCCTTTTTTTTTTTTTTTTTTTTGCTGGTTTTCCCTGCTGGTTTTCCCCAAGGGGACACTTGATGAGCAGCCTCAGCAGCAACTGGGGAAGCCACTTGAGAGAATGACTGCCCATCTTTTTGTTGTTGTTGTTGTTGTTGTTAAATACTTTTATTGGTACATTGTAGGTATATAACACAATTACATTTCTCATTGGGAGTTATACCTTTACATAATGCACCTTGGTTCTTATTTTTTCCCCATTCCTAGCCCTCCCTTCACCCCCTCCACCCTTCCCTATTTACAAAGACTTTATTTCCATTTTTCCCATTTTTCAGCATTTTTCCTTTCCCTTCTTTCCTTTCCCCTGCTCCTCCCACTACCCCTACCCCTTTGGACCTTTTCTTCCTATTTTACATTATCGATTATTTATTCTAATCATTGGTACATTTTAGGTATACAATATAATGACATTCATCATTGGAAATTTGCACCTTTACATAGTCTCTCTAGGTTCTTATTTTTCATCCTTGCCCAGCCCTCCCTTCCACCCCTCCAGTCCTCCCTACTTACAAAGATTTTGTTCCTATTTTTCCATTTTCTCATATTAATCCCATTCCCTTCTATCCTTTCCCCTTGCCCTCCCACTTCCTTCCCCTTTGCCCCTTTTCTTCCTATTTCACATTACCTATTATACGTTTTAGTCCTTATTTACACTTTCAGTTTCTCACACCAGAGAAACTATTCAGTATTTATACATGTGTGTCCTATTTACTTCACTTAAGAGTATCGCCTCAATGTGCATCCACTTAGCTATAAATGTCTCTAATTTCTCATTTTTTATGGCTGAGTAGTACTCCATTTTATTTTAAAAAACCACATTTTCTTTATCCAGTCTCCAGTTGATGGGCATTTGGGCTCTTTCCAAGTTTTAGCTATCACAAACTGTGCTGCTATGAACATGGGCGCACATATATCACTGTGGTATGATTCTTTGAATTCTTTGGGGAAGATCCCCAGCAGTGGAATAGCAGGGTCAAATGGGACTTCCAGTCCTAGTTGTTTGAACTGCCCATCTTTTGAATATCCTCCATAGTCCCCCGGAAGAGAGATTTATATATACCAGTTAAGTCAGAGACTTTTGTTTTTCAAACTTCAAGAAACATTATACAGAATGACATTGATTTTAAAAAACCCAGCTACTTATTCTGAATGCCCTCTGGGTAACAGGAGCACCACTCTAATATTTACTCTAGGGACTAGTGGTCTGTTTAATAGAAGACTATGCAAGTGGGAAATGGCAGATAGGACTCAGACCTGCATGGTTCCAGACCCTGTGCTTTCTGTCTGAGCCTGTTGCTTCCCAATCGGTCACATTCCTGTGGACAGAAGCCCTTGCTGGGGCAGACTAGGAAGGAATTAGGTGTTTTGGAGAGGTATTCAGCAGGCACCATGTGCTGGGGTAAGATCGGGGACAGCCACTCATTCAGCAGGTACTCATCCAGACTGGTGCCCCACTCTGTGCTCAGATGTGCCCTGTATATGATACAGCTAGAAGCCATGGGCAAGGGAAGCCCAGTCCTGGGCAGGACAACTGGCCAGCACTCATGAAGGCCAGAGAGAGCTCAATGGGTACCTGCTGCTGTCACAGAGGCAGGGAAGCTCTCAGCGGGCCTGGCTTGGTTCTGGAGGGTCCTGAGGAGCACTTTGAATGGGGCCTCCTTCTGGGTAGCAGTAACACAGCCTTGAAATGCTGGTCAGGCTGCTTCAAATGTGAGCTTGCTCCAGAGCCCTGCTTGGTGGGCTCTGGGAACCAAGGCCTGGCTGTGCAGGTCTAGCAAAGGGCAGCCCCAGCCCACCAGGGCATCCCATTCTCTCTGAGCATCCCCCAGCAGCCACACTATGCTCCTTCCCACCTCAGAGTACACAAGGCACTCACACTGGCCTTTGTGCTCCTTGAGAACATATGTGAGGCCAATTCCTAACTTTAGGTGTTTGCTATGAGCACTCTGACCCAGTTCTTATCTATGGTTCTTTGTGTCCCTGGGATCTAACTGCACCTCCTGTGCAGAGGCCATACCTGAACCTTCCCCACAAGAAGCCTGTAGTCACTCTCTGCCCTGCCGTCATCTTGTGTTACTGTCTCCCTAGCACCCACAACCACCTGCAAATCCCTTGTGCCATGAACAGTGTTCCCCCGTTTTTGTCTATCATTCTCCTACACAGATCTGTCGCCTTGCCTGCTTCCCTCAAACTTTGGTCAACTAATGGCCCCAGCACAGGGACTGTGTGGGTGGATAAGAGCCCATCCCCCTTGTTCAGAGTCTCCAGGTCAGCTCCAAGGGCACCTTCTGCATCTGACACCTCCTTCTCCCATACAAGAATGAGGCTTCTTGCCCAGCCTGCCAGCCTTCCTCTGCCATCTTCTCTCAGCACTCAGATAGGTGCCTGGCATTGTAGTACTTCCTGCCAACCACACTATTTATCCTCTCCTACCAAGCAGCCTCCCGATTCACCTGCTCAGAAGGGTGGGCAGCCGAGGTCTGGGCCTTCCTTGGAGTATACATACTCTCCTGGGATCCCAGACCGGTTCTTGGCCCTGTTCCTGTGATAGGTACCATGCCTTGCCCCATGGTTCTAGCAGTAATCATGGGGATGGACAGCCCTTGTGGTCTTCAAAAACCCTGCCACAGAACCTCCTGACGGGCTGAGCTGCTTTTCCATGCACTCACAGCCCCACTCCAGGCTTCTTGAATCAGTGTTTCTTGGAGAGCAGGAATCTGGGGCTGTCCAGGTGAGTCTGACACAAAGTCTAAGGACCAACAGCCTGCAGGGGCACCACACACCAGGACCAGCTTAGACATGAAATAACCAGGCCTTGTACAGTTCATACAGTAGGTGCTTAATAAGTAATGAGGACATTACTGAGGACCCATTGTCTGAGGACAATGACTATGTGATTTCAGCCTTTGCAAGTCTAACGCCCCAATCCACTTACATACAAATGCTGTACATGTTTTCTAAAGTCCCTAGATTCTGTGAAAATGGTCACAAATCATTCATCTAATAAGAGCCTGAGAAGCCTTCTTCTGCAAATGCCCCCAAGGACTGGACCTCAGCAGCTCAGCTCCCACTGGGGAGTGTGGGTGATGCCCTGGCTTTGGCATCTAAAGCAGCCTCCCACCCTTCCCACAAGCCCCCTGCATCCCAACCCTTTGTTCCTCTGGGGTTCCCCATTCTGACACCCAGGCAGCCAATGAGAGGAAACAGGCCTTGGCAGTCTCTGCCCAAATAGCTGAGGATCTCAGCTAGGCAAGGACAACATGTGGCCTCAAGAATGATTTCCCAAAGGGGAGGCAATGCCAGAACCCATTTCTATCTACTATGCCTGGGTATGGTCAGGTCAGCATCATCATGATACCATTTTTCTTTAAGAAAGTGGTTCTAAAAAAAAAGTGGTTCCTTTGTTCAGGAAACCTCTACTGAGCTCCAGTTCCAAATGTGGAGAGGGCACTGATCAATAAGTCAGGCAGGCTGGGGACCAAGTTCACTTTGGGGCTTTGAGCCCCAACCTAGCCCAGCTCTGAAGTGTGGGACAGGTTCCTGTACCCTGAATTGCACTCTCCTTCTGTACACAGTGGGAAGCTTGTCGTAACCCCAGGATGGGAGGACTGAGCCTGCTTTCCTCCTTTCCAAGTGTGCCCACTGATTAGCACTGGGCCCTGTGTGCTATCCTCTTCAGTTAGGACTTTCCCCACGGGCCCTAAACCACACAAGGTTTCCTTATTACAAATGGTTTCTTTGAATATTTAAGACAAGTAGACTGATGTCCCCTCCAAGAAGAGAGGAGCCCGGGGCTCAGATCTTAAAGGGGCCCATTATGATACAGGGAGGAAGCTGGTGAGAAAGGAAGTTGCAGCAAGCCTGAGAGGTTCCTCTTTGTGTATAGTCCAGGCAGAGTTTGAGAAACAGATTTGGAAGTTGGGGGTCAGGAGGCACTATTTATGGCAGTGTTCTCAGGGTGCAGCTGAGTCCTGCTCACTACTAGGGACAGATGCCAAGTATAGGGTGGTGTCAAAGAGGGCTCATTTGTAGCATTTCATTCCTCAGACAAGCCCCCTCCCCCTTTCAGGGATACATCCCATGCTCCCGGATCCTTATGCCTCCTGTGCCTTATCTGAGTTACAATGCCCCCCACTCCCAACTAGGTTCAAAGTCCTAATCTGAAAGTCAAGTCCCCTGAGGACTGAGTGCTGACCTGCCTGCCCGGTTGCTCCATTGGGAACCTGAGGCACCAACAAAACTGACCATGCCCAAGCACAGCCCCCACTTAATGTCCCCACCTCAGTCCCTTTGCCCATGTTGTCCCCTGTGCCTGGTATATCTTTTCTAATCACCTGAAACCCAACCTTGGATTTTGGGCTAAGACACCACCTTACACTTGAACCCTTTCCTGGTTACTCAGCCCCACAGGGACTTAGAGTAGGATACCATAGTATCCTGCCCCTCCTTCATCAAGTCATGCGGACCACAGACAAGAACAGAACAATCACAGAAACAAAATCATTGCTAGGTAGTGAGGAGAGAGCTGCTCCCAACCAGGCCTCCTGAGATGCTGCCCACCCCCTCCCTGACTGGTGGAGAGCCTTCTCCAGACTGGAGACTCTCAGGGTGATCAGAAATAGCAGGCAAGGTTCCAGAAGCAGACCTGCTCCAGGCCTCTTTTGGAGAGGTAATGGGAAACATTGCTACTGTACCTTGACTGTGTCCAGAGGGTGGCCAACAATGACACTGGCTGTACCTGTAGATCAAAGAAGAATATCTGGTCACCCAGACCCAGAACTCCTGGTTTGTACCAGCTGGATCTTAGAACAGGGCAGAAGCTCAGACACATGCATTTACCGATTCAATCAATAATCACTTGATAGTGGTGGCTCCCAACATGCTAAGCACTAGCCCAGTACCATTTAAAGTAGAGAAAATGGGCTGGGGATTTAGCTCAGTGGTTCCGCGACCCGCCTCACAAGCATAAGGTCCTGAGTTGGATCCCTGGTACCAAAAAATAAATAAATAAAATAAAGTAGAGAAAATGGACTCAAACCAGGGCCCTAACTCCAGGAGCAACTCCCACAAAGAGAAGTAAGGTGCTGAGACAACAGGATATCTACATGCAAAAGAAAAGATTAGTCCTCTACTTCAGACTGTATACAAAAATTAATTCAAAATAGATCAATGCCTTAAACAATAAAACTACAAAGCTGTTAGACTAAGACATAGTGAAAACCTTCATGACTTGGGATTTGCAAAGGAAATTGACACCAAAAGCATAAAAAACATAAGAAAAAATTGATGGACCAGCTTCACAAAAATAAAAGCTTTCATACACATTTAACACTCTAAAGAAAATGAAGACAAATAACAGATGGGTAGAAAATATTTGCAACTCATATTTTTGATAAGGGCTTGTTATCCAGGATATATATACAGAGAACTTACAACTAAAAAAATGTTTAAAAGGGCAAAGAAATTAAAAAGACATTTCTCCAATGAAGACACATAAATGGTTAAAAAGCACATTAGTAGATGCTCAGTAGCTTAACCATTAGGGAAATGCAAATCAAAATCACAGTAAAATATCACTTCACATTCTCTAGGATGGTTAAAATAATAAAGGAAAATAACAAGTGTCGACAAGGATACAGAGAAGTTAGAACTCTTGTACATTGCTGATAGGAATGTAAAATAGTACAGGCACTATAGAAAACAGTTTGGCAATTCCTCAAAAAAAAAAAAAGTAAGCATAGAATTACTACACGTGGGCCAAGGATTTAGCTCAGTGGCACTGTGCCTGCCTGGCAAGTGCAAGGTCTTGAGTTTGATCCCAGGTACAAAACAAACAAACAAACAAAAAGTACTATATGACCCAGCAATTCCATTCCTAGAGATCTACCCAATAGTTGAAAACAAATACATGTTTATGGCAGCATTATTCCCATTATCCAAAAGGTAGAAACAACCCAAATGTCTATCAACTGATGTGATGAATAAATTGTGACATACAATGAAATATTATTTAGCTATAAAGAGGAATAAAATACTGAAACATGTTACCACATGGAAGAATCTAAAAAAAATAGGCTATATGAAAGAGGCCAATCACAGAGGCAACTTACTGTACAATACCATTTATGTAAATTATCCAGAATAGATCAATCTGTAAAAGTAGAAAGCAGATTAAAATTTGCCAGGCCTGGGCCCAAAGGGAATTAGGAGTGACTATTTGATAGCTACAGGAGATACTTTGGTCATTTTAAGAAGCAAACTGAAACACAATAAGATTTTAAAAGTATTGAGTTGAATGCACAACCACTCAAGAGTCAGGTAACTCCATAGCAAGAGTAGTTCAGGACCTCCACCAAGGGAACAAAAGAAGGGGGCTTCTATTAGGATGGACACCAAAATAAAAGACAGAAAATCTGTCATGTGCCATTTAATGACAGGGATATAGTCTGAGAAATGTATTGTTAGGGGACTTCACCTTGTGCAAACATCATAGCATACATGTACTTACACAGACCTGGATGACAGACCTACCACATGCTATGTGGTCCACCACTGATCAAAACTTCAGAGCCACACCACAGCATTTGATTGGTTACACAGTTGCCTTCTTTGGCCTACTCTGTTAGAAACCCCCTAGTTACATAAATTAGTTGCTTAGTTTTGAGTAGTTGAGTTTAAGTTCTGATTTTTAAAACTATAAGCATTTATAAGAAATGGCTCAAGTTAAATTTTACTTATGCTTGCAAATTAAGCAGATCCCTTTTGAAAGATGTTGCATATGCTGGATCTTTCCACAGAGAAGCATCTTTCCACACACATACTCACAAGGCCTGTAAAATTGGAAGGGAGGGAAGCACGTCTATCCAGACACCACCTAAATGAAGAAGGCCTTGTTGCAGAAGCTGGTGACAGAGATTGAAACAGGAGCTATTCTTCCAAGAGAAATTCCCCAGCATTTCTGCCTGTGGAGATGGTTTAAGTAGATAAGCTAAGTAAGAGGCCTGAATACTACGTACTGCGACCAGAAACATAGAAAGAATTAAGTTTGTGAACAGAGGTACCACTTATTTACAGGGACAGAGAAACCAGCTAATTCCAGAACAATTGTTCCCTTGGTCCAGAATCCCCTGCTCTCTCTTAGCTCCTCCTCCTCCTTCCCCCTACCTTCCTGCAGAGGCAGACAGCTGATGGGCGGCAGAAGCTGGTGAATTCAGCCTCACTCTGCAGGACCACTCCCTGAAAGGAAGAAGGAGCTCTGATCCTCAGGTGCCACTGTCCCCCATAATGGGTGCAGGAATCCCTCAGCCTCAGCACCACCACAGATTCAGCCTTGGACCAGCAGCATTTCCTGCTCACACTCATTGGCCTACTCACCTGAAAGGAGGGGTGTCAATTAAAAAATGGGATTATCAGGCCAGTAGGTTCCAGACCTTGGGATCTAAGAGACATGTTTGATTTCAAACAGAAGTGGAGGGTATCATGGTAAAATTTTTTCATGTAAGATCATTAAGAAAGGCAACAGCTATAGATAAATCTGGAGCCTAAGGCCACGGCAGACGTTAGGGTTAGATTGCCTGGGTTAGAATCCCTGTCCCATGTAAATGCATGGTCTTAGGCAAGCCACTGGATTTCTCTGTAAGATCCTCATCTTACAGAGAAAAGTGAGGATGTGACAGTACATATCTCATTGGGGTTGTTAGAACAATAATAAATATATACACATAAAGAGACACAAGGGATCACATATGGCAGGAGTCAATCAATGAAATATTCAAGAAAGACAGATTTACAGAAAGTCAGTTCCTGCAGGTGCAGGACCCAACTGCTAATGGGCATGATCGATCCTCCCAGGGGAATAAAAATACTCCATACCCCATTTATACTGATGGTCAGAGTTGGTAAAGTTAATAATTTAATCATTTAATTCCACACTTAAAATGGGAGAATTTTATGATATATAAAATAAGCCTTGATAAAGTTGCTTTTAAAATATACATAGTGCATTTAAACAGTACCTGACACCACCTAAACACTTAGTGTCACTACACTCACCATCATTTCATGGAGGTAAAACAAGCGTGTTAGCATCAGCACAGTGAGGAAAATCTCAGAACAGAGGAGGGAAGAGGGAGGCCTGTCTAATCAGAGGCGGGAGCTACTCTGACTTGGCCTAGTGTCCAGGGCAGCTCACAAACTAAGCCACCCGCAGACCCACGGAAGCCAGTCTGATAATATAAGGGGCAGCAGTCTCCTCGGTCTACCTGGCCTTCCAAGGTTGAAGAACTGTCCAGCCTAAGAGTGCCTGGATATGCCCAGGAGGTGTCTGGCTGCAGGCCGCTGGCTGGTAAAGTCAAAACTCAGCCCTACCCGCGGGTTCCCATGCCAACAGAACTGCCCACCGCCAAGGAAGGAGTCACCTGTGCTCGGAAGGTATGAGGCAAGGACCTTGCTGCCCACCAATGGGGGTCGGGGGAGAGGCGGCTTCCTGCTAGGTGGGATGGAGGACCAGAAGTCTTATGCGACTTGTTGCTCTTTTAATCTTAGTTTATTTTTTTCTTTGACAGGGGGCTGCATTTAACAACATCCCTTTTAGGATTATGGGTCAAAAGAATTTTCTTACAATAAGCAAAAGTCCCTCAGACGCCCTCTGCCCCAATACCTGAGGAAGGAGGTATTATTGGAGGGTACAAGAAGCTCGGGGAGGGATGATGAAAGGACCAATGGGCCCAATAGCTCCAGATGGAGGAGCCTTGAAGAAAGGCCTTGGCTAGTGGCTGGTAGCGGACAGGACAGCACGCAGCGGCTGAACGCGGGAAGCGCTTCTCCCAGCCATCATTGGGCACCTCCAGCCTAGACCTCTGCTTCCTCCAGTCGGGGCGGCCCCTGTCGCCAGCCTGACCTCGCAGTCCGGCTCCTCCCCACCCCGCGCCCATGACTCAGAGCCAAGCGCCAACCTACACCCAAGTTCCCGCGGGCCATGTCCCCAAATTCAGGAGAGCACCGGGTCCCGAAGGTGTGTGCGCACGCGAGAGGCCTCATTGGCTGTCAGCTCTGCAGGGCGGTTTAATCATTACTGGATCAAGTTCCTCAGGTCTTAACGTAGAGGCAAATCAGCTCAGGGTGAATCGCAGTGAAGCTCGAGAAATTTAGCCCCGGTAGAGGGCAAGGGACCGCAAGACCACCCGAGAGCCCTCGAGACCCGCGCAGGACGGAAGCGCAGGGAACGCGAAGCTTCCAGACTCAGAGCGCAGCGTGCACACGGCTCACCTCCGATCCAGCCCGCCGCAAAGTCTTCCAGCTGGAAGCTGCTCATGGCTGGTCAGGCAGTGCCCGCTCAAGGTCTGCAGAGCATTGCCCGCTCATCCAAGTGCCCCGGGAAAAGTAGGAGTCTCCTCGCGCACTGCAGGTCCTACTCCAAACCCAGAGTCCGAGGCTGTCTGTGGCTCACCTCTACAAGTTCGACGGGCCGCTGACACCGAGCCTCGAGTGGCGCTTAAAGGCGCCGCGCGCAGGCAGAACAAGAGCACAGAACAAAGGGCTATCCAGTGGAATTCCCGCAGCCCTCCCTTCGCGCCGCATTGTCTCCCTGGACAAGTGCGGACTCTGCCTTTGAGGTGGAAGTGCCAGCCCACGCCTGCAATTGTTCACATTGCGTCCCCACACTGGGAATAACTTCAGAGCCTTTTCTTGCACAATTTATTTACAAGAAGGAGAGAAGCTTTATCCAAAGTCCACAAACATTTGGTTGCACTTGGCAAAATCTTTCTGTGATTGGATTATTTACATGTGAAGAGGCATCACCCGGGCTTAAAGCCCAAACCCCACTGAAATAACTCTACCTGAATATCCAGCTGTGACCCAGGGGTTCTTGATTCTCTGAGGAGCTGAGCAAAAGTCAGTGACAGTTTTGCTGTAAAATACACAGGGCACACTATTTTCCAAGCCAGTATTAGTGTTAAGGGAGGAACTTCCCTTCTCCTCCTCCCCACGCTTTCCAAGCCCTGGAGTTAAGAATCTGACTTACTGTCTTAGTGTGTGATTGATGTGTGGAAAGCATGTTGCTCAGAGGTCAGCGTCAAGCCAGCTCTAAATGAATTCTAGCTCTTAATGACTTCCATCTTTTTTTGCACTTAAATCACACCCCTCTTCCTGTACCTGAGTTTACTCCTCCTAATAACTCCATGAGGTTGGTAGTATAACCTCATTTCACAGATGAGGAAAGTTGCTGTATGTGTAATGTATGTAAGGCATGTGTATTCCATACATCAATTTTACTCTTAGAAAACTGGCCTAAATCAGGAAGTGAAAGTTGCTGCATCCGAGTCACAGGCTTAGCTGGCTGAAAACAGATTTGAGCATATTCCCTAAGACCTGGCTCTCTCAGAGAAGGGCCCAGGGGTGAAGTACAGCTGACAGAAGCCACAGAAAGCCCTGCAGCACCCCACCACGACTCTCTGGGACAACTATCCCTCCTCTGCAGGGAAGCAAGCTCCAAATCCTGTTCCCTCCGCTGGGCTAAAACCTTTCTTAACTCACCCCCGGCAACTTACCTCCCCTCTCCCTCCTGCATGCTCTAGTTAACCACACAGATGCCAAGCTAGAGCATATTGATATAAAGTAACAAATTCGGTCTTAAAGGAAACAAGAAAACAGTTTATTCTGGGCCAAATATGAATGAACGTGGCCTGGGAACCCCAATTCCAGTTGCCCTGAATGACACGTTCCTCTGTGGAAGAGGTTGTTATATGGGTATTACAGTCATAGAACAAAAGAAAGTCAGGTCAATACTTTTACCAGTTACATCAGTGGGAGCATGAGGTAGGCTGGTGGTACGATTATATCTAAAATGTCCTCCCAGATTCTCACGGGTTGGAGGGTGATTGGATCATGGGCGCACTATAGCTAACTCCTATAGCTGACTATAGGAGGCAGAGCCCAGTTGGTGGTAGGTCACTGCAGGCATGAACTGGAAAGGTGTATCTCTCTCCCTGGCTCCACCCTTGGTTTTCTGCTTCCTGGCCAGCATGATGTGAGCAGCTTTCCTCCACCAGACCCTTTCACTATGCCCTTTCTGCCTAGGAGCCAGCTGACCATGGACCAAATCTTCTAAACACCATGAGCCAAAATAAACCTCTTCTCTTTCAAGTTGTGGATGTTGGGTATGTTGTCTTAGCCATGAGGAAAGGGGCTAAGACAGGAGGCAACAGCAAAGTAGGGGGAATTTCTTCTATAACTGTAAATGCTACCTTAGGGCATTCTGTAGAGGCCAGAGATGATGTAAGCTTAGCTCTGTATTCCAAGAGTTTTATGTAGTAGTCATGAGGATGTTAGGTCAGATGCTGAGACTGATTTTTTTAAATGACTATGAAAAGTGACTGAAAACAATTGGCTCTTGATCTCTAATGTTCCCTCTCTCTATAATCACTATCTTCTAGTTTGTCTATAGGCTCTTCAGTATAGATGTGGTTTCTAGAGAGAACTTCAGTTCACAAACACTTGCCTTGGGATATTAGGGCTCTGTGCCTGTGGTTCCATGTCTACCTGCGAGCAGGTGCTGATGGTCAGTGTTATATATCCCCTAGGCAGGGCTACACTTTGAGGTGATTCAATCCAACACTCATCTAAGTGTTGCTTTGGCAGTGTTTTGTAAGTGTGATGAACACCTGCAATCAACTGACTTAAGAAAAGGAGATTATCCTCGATAATCCTGGAGGGCCTCATCCAGTCAGCTGAAAAGTCTAGAGAAGAAAACATTCCACCTGTGGACTGCAGCTTCAGCTCCTACCTGAGTTTTCAGCCCACTGGCCTGCCCTACAGATGATGACTTGCCCAGTCAGGTCCTACAGTTGCACACACACACACACACACACACACACACACAAACACACACGCATGTACACACATGGTAGAACTCTGACTAATACATTGTTACCTGGTGTAATAGACAAGGAAACTGAGGCTCAGAGAGGTTAAAAAGAGATCCTATCAAGCCAGGGAGTATCATCCCCAGTATCCACCACAAGGTGGGGGGGTAATTCTGAGACAGCCTGGAGATGGCGCTTGTTTTTCTGGTGTCCCCCGACACTTCTCTCCCCACTCTCACATATGCCACCCAGGCACCCATCCTGAGAGAGCACTTGTGGATGAGCATGTGTCCCTGTGCTGTACCATCAGTGTGGTTCCAACTGTGGCTCCCTCTCCCCCATCCCGAACCCAGGCAATATCTTTTTGCCCATCCTAGCCATGTCCACTCAGTGCCTGGTGGTCCAGGGTTGTGCCTTTCAAGTACAGCAGTCTAGGGGCCCAGCTCCCTGCCAGACACTAGCCCAGCCTACATGCCCACCCCAGGCCAGCAAAAAGGGAGAGGGGTGGTTCTCTCTCAGACTTTCTCTATGGTCAGACTTCATACTTGGCCCAATCCTCAGGTGATGTCCCTGCTCACAGGGGAACTTGCACTGGCCATATTTGGGGGATTTTGTTCCAATGGGAGCATTCTGACCTCCTCTACCTTTAAAGAAGGTGACTCCATGTCCTTGAGCATACTGGTCATTTCCAGCAGGGACGCAGCCATGGGTCCCAGCCAAGACACCCCAATGCTGACAAAATGATGAGGTGTATAGTCTGGAGAAGAGGGTTCTGATAGTATATCCATGTCACCTCTTCCAGGTCAATGTGCAGCAGCAGCTGGCCAAAGCAGGATGGAGTCTTCTCACTGACACCTGATCCTAAAAGGGCCTGCTGAGAAGTAGGGGCTTAGAGATGGGAAGGGCCCCTTGCAGCCCCTGCCACCTTCCTCCCTGGGTACATAGATAGTGTACTTGTGTCCAGGTGTGAGTCAGAACCAGCCCTCTGAGAGAAGACCCTAGGGTGGAGCACAGAGCTGGATGTGGGAATCTTGAGAGATCCTGGGGAGGGGAGGGAAGTAACATCCTCTCCTTGAGCTCTGCTCTTGCGGCACATGATGACCTATTTAGTCTTGAGGAGTCAGAGAGGCCACCAGCATGGATTCCCAAACTGCTGCCCAAGGTCTCCAAAGAGTGGTCCTTTGGCCAAGTAGAAAGCCGGCCAGTTCCCAAGGCCACTTTTGCAGGACCACCTAAGTGTTGCCAGGCAGGTTGCCATCCCCTCAGTCCCGTGTCAGCACTCATGAAGGACGCTGAGGCCCTGTGCTGGCAGGCAGAGTTCCTGCCAGCCCCAGATGGCTTTCTCAGCCCAGAAATTCACTGCTTAAACTACTAATGAGTTGGAGCACAGTGAAAGAAGCAGGCTCATTTTCAGAATGAGCCACTGTGCTCTGTTCCGGAATGTGTACCACAAATCTGCCCATGAGGCACATTACCCAAAGGAGGGCCAGGGCTGTAAGTTCAGTGGCACCCACGGGCTGGGATCAGAGTCCCAGACCACTTGGCTTCTGGGAAGGATCTGGGTCATTACTTGTCCCTGCCTCCCCCACTTTGGAGCAGCAGGGATAGTGACGCTGCTCACGGCTCTTCACACCTACATTCTACCCTCTGGACAACAGCCAGCCACTGACCGTCACACAGGTAAAAAAACAAGGCAGAAAGAGATCCACTCCCAGGTTTGCTAGGGTCAGAGGGAAATGGTATGTCCTGTGCCCTTGCTCCCTGAGTTCTTCCGTACCGGGGCCTCTGAGGACATTATCCCCTGCAGATGGGAAGAACTGACATCCTTTGATAACTAGGGTCCAATTCCCATTTCTCATGGGCCCTTTCAATGTCCAATTTAATGGTCCATGCCTATTAATGGCAGAAGAATTTTCCTGAGTGACAAGTACCTCCATTCTCCTCTTTGGGGAAAATCTTGATCAGAGCGGGGACAGCTTGTCTGGGATCCCCTCTCTATCTAACTAACTCCCCTAAGAGATCCTCCTTAATTCCTCCCCCCCTTAGAGAAATGCACCTCCACCTGCCTAGCCAGCACAAGCCCAACCCCGGCTGCATCTTTCTCTCCTCTTTCCCTGGGCAACATCCCATGAGCCGTGAGTCCTGAGGTTTCATCTCCCCAGTGACCCTAACCTGCAGGCCCCTTTACAGCCCATCCCATGCCTGTGTCACTGCCTGACCAGATCACAGGGGACAGAGGTCCTCTGCTCCTGTCCTGTGCCTGCCCTGTTGTTGCTGCCACCTTGAGCTTCTGCAACCTTGAACCTGCTCTGGCCTCCCTCCTTGCAGTGACCTCCAATGACTCCCTCTGGCATTGAGCATAAATTCCAATTCGACAGTTG